GACATCACGAAGCTGGGATGACCGTGCGCGCAACCCAAATTTACCAAACGTCCTTCGGCGAGCAAAATAATATGACGTCCATTGGAGAGCGTATAACGGTCCACTTGTGGCTTAACATTTATCTTCTCCTTGGCATTGGCATTAAGCCAAGCTACATCAATTTCACAATCGAAATGACCAATGTTGCAAACGATCGCATCGTCGGGCATGTGTAGGAAGTGAGCGCCAGTGATGATGTCCTTGCAGCCTGTGGTGGTTACAAAAATAGTCGCTTCCTTGCATGCCTCTTCCATGGTGGTAACTTCATAGCCTTCCATTGCAGCCTGCAAAGCGATTATTGGATCGATTTCTGTGACAATAACACGTCCGCCAAAGCCACGTAACGCTTGTGCGCAACCTTTGCCGACATCACCGTAGCCGGCAACGCAGCATACTTTACCAGCGATCATGACGTCTGTGGCGCGCTTAATACCATCAATTAGCGATTCGCGACAACCGTATAGATTATCGAATTTGCTCTGTGGAAATAGTAAAATAAATTATGTTATTTGGTTGCATTTAATTTGCATTGAATTCAAGCAAACCTTCGTCACCGAGTCGTTAACATTGATGGCAGGAACACCTAGTCGACCTTCCTTCATCATTTTGTACAAATTATGTACACCGGTTGTGGTTTCTTCGCTCAAGCCCTTGATGTCTTTAAGGTACTGTGGGAACTTTTCGTGCACCAAGTTAGTTAAATCGCCCCCGTCATCGAGAATCAAATTCAATGGCTTATCATCAGCGAATACCAGAGTCTGCTCAATGCACCTGAACGAAAAGTAAAAGTTGCTTAGACTTCCAGCATAAAAACTATTCTTTTTTTTTTTAATTTCGACTGGCTTACTTACCATAAGTATTCCTCATCGGTCTCACCCTTCCAGGCATAAACTGGTACGCCAGTCTTCGCGATAGCTGCAGCTGCATGATCTTGTGTACTGAATATATTACAGCTTGACCATTGAACCTGAAAGCGAAAGCAGGAATAATTTCAAAGTTTTACAAAACTATCTAATAACAAATCTCGCTACTTGAAAAGAGGCGAGTAATATTATCATTATCGCATTGTTTTGAACTATTGGCCCTGTTAGAATTATCTATAAATAGTCGCTTAGCAGCACATAATTGCCTACGTGAAATATATGAGATAGTAATAATGTACGAGCGTCACATTCGAAACAAAACAAAGGTGATAAGCGCTTTTATAGAATTCCGCCCTTGGCCTGCCTCCCAAATTTAAGATAAGTACATAGGTATATGTGTTACTTACTTCTGCGCCCAGCTCCACGAGTGTCTCTATCAATACGGCGGTTTGTACTGTCATATGGAGACAGCCAGCAATACGTGCACCCTTCAACACCTTTTGTGGACCATACTTCTTACGAATGGCCATTAGGCCAGGCATCTCATTCTCCGCGATTATGATGGCTTTGCGACCATACTCAGCAAGGTTGATATCGGCTAATAATGTGTTAATAATTAATTATTTTCTATTAAGTGGTTCGTTTTATGAAAGGCGAAAAAAAGGGTATTTGCATGGTCCAGCTGTTTTTAGCGGCTAAACTTAACCTCTTTAGCATACTCACCAACTTTGTATTGTGGCTTCATTTTATCCTATTTGTGTTTGAGTAGGAACTAAAGAAGTAATTATAAAAATATCTTAATTGTTGCCGATTAAGGATATAGACACTATTTTATATGAATTTGGCGCAAATTCACATTCAGCACTCACAACCGGCTTGAATGGAGATGAAGGAAAAAGTAAACTTGAATCTGCTTGGAGTCTGATCAGAAAAACAAAACGCGTGCGTTGAAAATAATCATTCAGGGTTGCACGTACATAATCAGTTTTTGGTAATATAGTAATCGGTTTTATTAGATAAGGAATGATTATGAATTATCCAAAGAACCTTAAATTTTTTCTTTGTTTTTATATTTAGAACATTATTCTTTGTTTTAAAAAAAAATAAATAAAATTCTGAAGAAAAACTTACAAAATTTCAGAAAAGCTGCCAAATATGACACGCGATCTACATAAATGAATCTTCCACTTCTAAAAAATTACTGTCGAATACCTGTCAAAGAAGACGCAAATTCGATAAGAATTATGCCCCAAATAACTCGATATTTAAAACTAAATTTTTGTAATTATTTCAAATGGGTATTTAAAATTTTAATTTATTGGGCACACAACATCACTAAGTTATATCTGTTATATGGCAACTTACCTGCTCCAAGTGGAACTTATTGGAACCCACAAACGCGAAAATTGGTGGTGAATTAAAACAGGGTTGCAACTTTGAGCATTGAACTGTGAGAAATACTTGTAAACACTTGTTTACTAAACAATGTATAAAAATCTTTAATAAAAAATTATTGAAGTCGATTCACATACAACAGCTATCGTTATTGTTACGATTAGCCTTGAATACTTGACGAATTTCCTAAATCCTTCCGATCTGTATCACTGGATTATTATATAAACGCTCAAAGTAAGTATTACAAAACATTACAATATTTGTTAAGGCAATTGATCTCCGCACTCGTTTTATGCTACACTGTTCAACACTTTAATGCACTCATGGATGGGACCTATTTGCAGTGTTTACTGCGGCAACGATCGAGATCCGTATGAAAAATTTGCAGGCAAAGGCAACAACAACGATATTATCCTGATAGAAATCTAGTTCAATTTATGATCTACTGTGTTTGTTTTGTTTCACTGACAATTTGCTGCACGCATTGGTAGCACTGACAAATGAATGTATACACAAATAGATATTTTGCCATTTGTTTCTCTTAACTTGATTCAAATGAATCGCCTTTATGTTTAATATTTATTTAAGTGAATATTATTTCGTTTATGCAAATGTACTGTTCCGCATTTAGTGAGTTAAGTTTTATAATTTCGCCTTCCTCGTGCTACTAGTACAAAATTAGTGCTGCCAACCGCAAAAAGAACGATCCAGATCGTTGCCGTGAGAAATAATCGTGATACTTCGTTGGATAACCCAAGGAAACACAACTATTATTAACAAAAATTCACCACATCAAATTTAAGTATTGCCATTGCGCTCAAATAGTACTTTTTTCATCGAATGCGCAACGAATTGGAAATTTTGTGAGCGCATTTTCTCAACCCTGTTTCACAGTTGTGCGCGAGAAGCCGAATTGTTGAGACGCGAGTGTGGTCCGTGTTGGTTGAGCTGCTTTCATAAAAAACTAGTATTGGTAAATGGTTAACATATTTCTCTTGAGTGTACTTGAATTTTTCACCAATTCCCAATAGGCGCAAATGAATTCCGTTGAATAAAAGTGAATTAAAATAAAACTAAGTAATTTTGAAACAAATGTGTTCGAAAGCGCAGTGAAAAACAGTGAAAATAACACTAAATAGAAAAATAGCAGTTTTGTGTGTATCTTCGCTGCCGAAAAAGAAAGCTTTCGTTTTAGCCAGAGCGAAGGAAAAAATAAAAAAATAACTGCAAAGGATTTGCGTGAAATCGTCAACTTTTGATGAAAGCAAATTAGATACGGGTAAATACATGTTTTAATTTTCGTATTTAAGTAAAGTTTGCGTATAAAAAATTAATTATAATTGTGCGCATTTGATGCGTGGAGTTGGCCAAAAGCGTGAAAAAAACCTGAATACGGTGGCGGCGGCAGCAGCAAACAATCGGATTCAGTCAACGAACGCGTCGACGCTTCTCATTGTTTTTTAAACATCTATGCAAGTGTGTGTATGCGCGATTTGAGTTGCTTCGCTGCGCTTGTTCTAAGCTATGTTTATAAAATATGCTGACTTGCAATCGCACGAAAATACAATAAAAAGAATTACAAAAATTATGGCTGCAATAAACTCTAATTTCATAATAAACTGAATTGTGCGCTTAACCATGCACAATAGAGCTGCAATACTGCACCCCGTTGGCTGTTATCCGTTGGTGTTGTTGTTTGTTGCGGTGGTTGTGGCAGCAGCGAAAAATTCGTTAGATATACAACAACTACATGCATGAAGCAAAATAAAAAGGTAGAAATAAAATTAAAAAAAGCTAGCAACAACGGTGACTTCACGACGCTTCCCAGAGACAACGACGGTAGCGTCGCGTCAGAAAACTGGCGTGCAAAGCACCGAAAACAAAAACAGGTTTCTACATGTACGCTGACGTTGACGCCGTCGCTGCTGTCGCTGCTTTTGCGTTTCCACGTTGAAAGGTGGGGCAGAACGTGACCAGTGTTGCCAAGCTCACCCCTTACCGATCCGCGCGCGCTCATAAAAAATGTTAATTTTGGTTGGTCAAACTTCAAAATGTTTGATTTGAAATTCAAATAAGTAAGAAAATGCTTAAAAGAGAATGCGTATATGTGCAATAAGAGTGGCTGATAAATAAGTTTGTCGAGATGGAATATGAAAATGTTGCTTTTTTGAAGGCCAACCACAAAACAAAACAGGGAGTTGGCCGCTTTATTGAAATTGATGACTTCAGATTGGAACCGAAAGAGACGTGCATCATTAAATTATGTTCTTTGTTGGGTTTTCCTCCGCACCAAATACAAATGTACATATATACAGTGGCGGCAGAAATAATAGACTCGTCGCAATATTTATTTGGGAGTGTCTATTTACACGCGCCACGGTAACTTTTACCGTGGATCCACGGTAAAAAATACCGTGGATCTACGGTAAAATTACCGTGGATCTACGGTAAAAATTACCGTGGATCTACGGTAAAATTACCGTGGATCCACGGTAAAAATTGCCGTGTATCTACGGTAAAAATTGCCGTGTATCTACGGTAAAAATTACCGTGGATCTACGGTAAAAATTACCGTGGATCTACGGTAAAATTACCGTGTATCTACGGTAAAAATTTCCGTGGATCTACGGTAAAAATTACCGTGGATCCACGGTAAAAAATTACCGTGTATCCACGGTAAAAATTACCGTGTATCCAAGGTAAAAAAATTACCGTAGAACCACGGTAAAAATTTACTGTGGATCCACGGCACTTTCTGAAGATTTTTGCTTGACGAAGAAGATGTTTGATTTCCGAAGTGCGCGAAGAACCACCTTTTTAATGTAGATGTGCGGTAAATGATATTTTTTTTTTAAACGACTTCAAAGAAAACTAAGAGGTTATCTATTCGACATGTACATACGTCGTATGTGTGTATGTATGTATATTTGTTAATTGTATGTTTGTTCGCGCATAACTTCTTTGTTTGTTAACCGATTTGAATGATTCTTTGGCCTTA